TCTTATGAAGCCTGCAGCCATGTGATGTATAAACAGAGAATTAAATGAGACCTTTATCTGAGGCTCCTAGGCATTACAATTTAAAGAAAGTCATGCATCCTTTCTCACCCTCCCTCAGCCATGGGAAGAAATTCTGGAGAAGACAACCCATAACTTTCCAGCATCCTCATTATAATCCCAATTTTTTTTTTCCCTAAGAAAAGTGGAACTTTTTCTCCTCCTGTCTGGGAAGCAGAGACAGCAGCAACCTTATTAGTTGATTTTTTGGTATCTAGCAAAGTACATGCTCCAAAGAAAGCTCAGCATTGGTTTCCTGCCCCTTCTTGGACCTCAGATCCCATGGAACCAATACCCTAACACACCTGCCACCTCACTTACATGTGTGTGAGTCAAACCAGTTTAGAAATATATCTTGGGGAAGGACAAAGAAGGAGGGAGTCAGACATAGAAAGAAGTGTCATAGCAGCCTCTTATCCTCAGCATACAGATTAAAAAAACAAACAAAAACAAACAAACAAACAAAATTTTTAAAAAACCCAAACAAAACAAAAAACCGGTCTTTTATGGCATCTTTTTCAGCAGGGAAAGATTATTTTTCCCCAATATAAGAAGAACCCTCCAAATCAATTTTCTTTTCAGAGAATCAGTCAAACCAGCCCATCCCAACAGACATATGAAAAAAAACAAGGAAACTTTTTAAATGGTGCCAATTCATCACGGCATCTTAACCCCCTTGTGAGAAAAAGCACAGCACCTTACAACAGCTGAAATACTGGGCTGTGTCCCTCACTGTTGTTAATTAGCTGCCCTCTGTTGATTTATGCTGGCTGTCATCTGCTCCATCCAGCCGTATTTTCAGTGCTGTTAAGAACACACTCCTGGTAAAAAGCTTCAGAAATTCCCTGTGGTAACAGGACTATTTCTCATTCAGGTATCCTATCTGCAGGTATAAATCCCACTGTCTCTGCACCAGCACCTCGCAGCTATCCCTGGCATCCCAGTACCCACCCTGTTCCTTTGCAACAGTCTATTTTCTTTCTTTTGTTCCTTTTTCCC